TGGAGCAAGGCGAGGGGAATCCCTCGCTGAGCCAAATCCCCTTACACAAACACCTCGCCAACCTTGTGACTTGTCAGGAGAGGCCAACCCCAAATCCTTCAGCCGCCTCCCAGGAACTCCACTGTCCCCCCAGACTCAGTTTCCTCCACGTCCCCATCTGAAACAGCAGCAATCCTGACGCACAAAAAGAGGCTGGCTGATAAAGGCAGAGCCCCAATCGTCCCCAAACGCTTCTCACTGGCTGCTGAACGAAACCTTTTCTCATAGGAAAAAAAAAACCAACAACCCAAACAAAACAAACCAGAGCGGCTGGAGCTCAGACATCAAGTTTCATAACATGAAGAAATCCCATGTGCATGTTAAGGAGTCAGAGCTGGACACTCCCACGGCCAGGACAGAGCGAATGTGAACACACGAGCTCCAAGTATTCGGAGGAGAGCCTTGCTAACAAATCTGGTTTTGCACACCAAGACTCCCAACAAACACACCCTTGGACAGCAGCTGCCATCGGGGTGAGCTGTTACTCCGAAGCAGGAACTCGCACCCATACAAAGAGAAAAAAACAGATTAAATACCCCATGCGCCCACATTCATTCTGCTGAACTCGGGAAGAGGCTTGGCTTTGCAGGTAAGCCCAGGTGCAGACTGGGAACAAGGAATTCAAATAAACTGTGTATCACCTAAAAGAAAATCAGGCGGAAACCTGTAACATCCTTGGCGCTCTTTGTAGAAGTTACTTCAATTGTGCCGAGCCGCGTTTGAAACAGCCACCATACAGGATGACAGAGCATGAAAAAGTTTTCCAGGAAACGAGGGGTACAGCATGGGAGTTTTTTTTAAACTTGACTTTTTAGGTTGCCAGGAAGTTGTATTCGGTTGTGATCAGCGACTTCAGCAAACATTAATTGCTGGACAAATATAGACCTGCTGGCTTCCTCATTGAGCACCCTTTTGATGTCATTTTTAGATAATTAGGCATGGACTTTAACCTCCCTCATAGCAGTTTTGCATGGATGTAGCTGTACGAAAAGTTTATTTGGGTGACTCCAGACCAACAGCTGCCAAAATGGTTTTAACTCCTCAAGTTTCTTTCACTTTGCAGATGAATTCGTCCTGCAATTTTGCCCCGCCTGGCACAAAGGCTATCTGAAATCACAGCAAGTATGTCTATCCGTGGTCTCTCCCCACGTCACCCTGAGAGCCCTGGCTGGAGCCAGCCATGGGGTTCCCTCCACACCAGGCAGGACTTCTCAGCCGTGCCAGCAGAGAGGATCCGTGACTCCAAGCCCCCGCTGAGCAGCCCAGGAAAGGGAAGGTGAGATGAGATGGAGAGTGCTGGTCTCAGCAGATGACAGCAGCTGTGAGCAATCCCCCCGGCACTGCGCAGGAGTCACCTGAGCCTGGGCTGCCCTGTGCCTCCTCCATCCCCGCTACAAAATAGATGTGACGGGCATGATCCTGTGCTCTGCAGGTGCTGGAGGCTGCTGGGCTTCCTGGGCACAGGGTCAGCAGCTCCCCCCTCGCAAACAGCATAGTGCAAGGGAGGGGTGCAGTCACCGTAATCCCTTGCCTGCAGGTTAATGGCATAAAAAACCCAAAGAGAGGATGCAAGTCAACAGCTCCTGTGAAAGCAAGAGGAATCTCGGAGGCAGCGCCTGATATTTTTGTGGATTATTTTTATGCCACCCCTGCCCTGGACCGGTGAGGGGTGTTGGCCAGGGAAGGGCACTGAGAGCAATTCCGCAGAGTATGGCACAAAGAGATGGATCACTGTTGTTAATTCAGCTTTATGCAGGTATTCCTTCTGCAAGAAATACTAGGATATCCTTTCCGGGATGTTCTCGGGCTGGATTCATGCCTGATGCTGGTGTAAATCCATGAGAAGAAACCTAATGTCATCAGCCAAGCAAGCCAGCAGAAACGAGGGAAGAACTGAGTTATCCCATCTCTGGCTCATGCCAAAGGCATCGCTCCCCAAACCAATCCCTATGAGGCATTTCTGCAATTTATATCCCAGTGGCACTGGAAGTGAAACACGAAGAGTTTCACTCTTCCAGTCTGGTTTACACTCACGTTCCACAACCCAGCAGAGAGGCCAAATTAGGAGAACAGGACAGCTTTTTATTTAACAGGCAGTTTTTTCTCACCTCCCCTGCCCCTGTATTTTAAGGGCCCACAAACCCACATACTTTTCACATCTTCTGAAAGAAAAAACCCCAACAGCTGAATCGCAGTCGTGCTTTTACAAACTACATAGAGTGCATCAGAGTGTCTTGCCCCATTACAGTAACTTCATTTAAAGACTGGAGCATTTAAAGCCAGCACTCCTCTCTAGCAAGGCACAGATGAACATCTCCCAGAAGACAACCCGCATCTCCAGACCTCCACTCTCTCTCCCTTTCCATGTTCTTGTCTCTGAGCCTGGCTCTGTCAGCGCTGCCACTTCTCCCCTGACCCGCAGGAGCAAAACCACCTCGCTGGAAATAAACTGCTCAGATCCACGTGAAAATTGGGGAACTGTATCCAAGACACCCCTTCCTACAAGCGATCACTGGAGGATTCATTTATCCTTAACGAAGGAGCCAGTTGGATGATGCCGGGGTGGGTGCGAAGCCCCTTTGACCGGTGGGTGCCAGCTGGAAGCAGTTTCTCTGCTGTGGATTAATTTCATGGATGCCAGCGGATAATAACAACTCTCAGTTGCTACCAACTTGGCCTGCTGCGCTGTCTCCCCGCTGTTTTAAGAAAGCTCTCATTCTTGCCACAAAATGTTGGGAGTTGAAATAAGGGGGGTGGGGGGGGAAGACAAGCCACAGCTACCAGCATTGCATGCACCAGAGCTCAAAGTCCTCCGTCAGCCCGCTCTACGCGAAGCTTTCTTTGTGCATGAGCAGCAAAACCTCATTTAAGGAGAGGAAGCAGGAATAATTGCGCGGCCAGAAGAGGAGAGAAAACGACCTGTTTAACTTGCAAACAAGTTGAAATAAGGGGGGTGGGGGGGGAAGACAAGCCACAGCTACCAGCATTGCATGCACCAGAGCTCAAAGTCCTCCGTCAGCCCGCTCTACGCGAAGCTTTCTTTGTGCATGAGCAGCAAAACCTCATTTAAGGAGAGGAAGCAGGAATAATTGCGCGGCCAGAAGAGGAGAGAAAACGACCTGTTTAACTTGCAAACAAATTTGTGGGATCTTAAATCAATCCGCATAGGGATGGATTATTGGGGTGTGATCCCATGGATGTGAAAACCTACATGTGAAGGAAAAGCATGACCACCCTTCTCCAAGTTAAGCCCATCCCAGGCAGACAGAGGAGGAGGAGGACTTGGGGAAGGCTCCTAGGTATGTGGACATGGCCAAGCTTGTGGTCTGACCGAGGCCCAGCTCCAGTACGGAAGTACAACACCCCAGCAAGAGTCAGCACAAGGTGGCCTGAGCAAGCGTGGCATTTGAACAAGCCCGAGTCTGCCAGCACTCGTCCTCCAGCACGGCCAACATTTGCCCGTTCAGCCTCAGCCGGCCGCTTCAAAAGTTGAAAACCCAAAGAGCTCTCAGGATGCTCTTGCCCCGGCGGCTGCCGGCACCTCCAACGCACCCAGACGATGGGAGGCTGCTTTGGGAGAAGAGTCCCCCATCCTGTGGGTCTCCATTTCTGCCCCTCCCCATGCTGCCCACGCCACCGGACCCAGCCTGAGTGCGACCAGAGATGTCCCAACGCCGGCAGACACCCAAAAAAAGCCCAAAGTGGCCGGTGCTGTCCTCCGACCCCTCCTTCCCGGCCGGCACCGAGGAGATCATCTTCCGACGGTCCGGTACAGCTCCTTCTCTTCCCCGGGGGTCCCGTACAGCCCCGTCCTGCCCCGAGGGGTCCC